CATACAGCACAGCACGCCAGTTCATCCTTTCCTCCCTCGTGGTGCTGGTGGGAACCAGCCGTTTACGCCACGCTTTGTGGCTTGACGGACATTAATGGATTTGGAAAGCTTCTGGAAATGTCTTGAACGCCAGAAATGGTGCAAGCAGGGATTACAAACGTGGCGGTCGGTACGAGCTCGCTTCGGCGGGTGGGCGGATCCAGAAGAGCTGCGAAGCAAATTCGATACTAAAATCTGAATGCGGTCGCAGCTGCATTGTGCTCGCATTGCACGGTTCTGTGGTGCACCCAGGAATCCACAACTGGATCCAAGGGACCAACGCGGACCCAAGGGCTTGGGACAATTGATTATGGCCGTTGAGCCGGTTTCTCGCCGACGGACTGTTAGGCAAGATACCGTAGTTTCTCCGACGTGCATGCCCGCCCGCTCTGCCAACTTCGATTCCCGACCACTTTCAAATGATGGACGGTCATGCTCTGAGCCCGATTCTGGCTCGTAGTGGGGCTATGCCCGACCCTGTCAGGGGCGTTTGTGAACCATCCGGGTACATCCCCCACGTCAAAAACACCCCAGGAGCTTCTCAGAATGCTCCCCATACATACTGCCATGTTCAACAACAATGATTGCATGCACATGTCCACGAATGCGGTAGAGGGAGTCTAGAGGGAGCTTAGAGGGAGCCCGATGTAGCCGACGGAAGTGGCCATGGGCGTTGCCGAGCAAGATGATGCGTATCGCCGGTCTCTCCGCCCGCGAGGAACATTCACTTGGAAAACGTGGGCGTGAGCGATCGCAGTCAGGACTGGCTAGCGACGATGGCCGCGCCTGAACCGCGAAACCTGCGTGTCTGTAGAATATGTAAGCCCGTAGGTAGACCCCGCGTTGTTCATCCTGGCATCCGCCGCTGGAAGATCCAATACGCAACAGATTTCCATCCACCAATTCTCGACATGTTTAGATCAATGATTAGACAGCTCTGTTGCATGCGCTGTGGCAGGGAGACCGAGCTCACTCCGACTGACGACCTCAAAGACGCGGGCATGATTGAGATCGGGCACAACTTGTATTACTGCTTCACATGTGCCAATGTGACGGGCCATCCAAAGGCACCAGGAGCTGCCAAGCTACCGAAGCACACCAAATGAGGAGCGGATTGCCGGCGTCGCATGCAGGTCGTCGTCCGCAGCCCCCGACCCGAGACGGGGTGCAAGAAGGCGGTGCCATCTCAAACGATTGGTCAAAGCGCGCTACTTCACAGCGCCCAGTAGTAGCCTGAGAAGCTCAACTTCGAAACAAATACTATTCAATTCTTGACGGCCACATCTAGGTCGCTTCGGTGACACCTTCTTCAAAAGCCTTCTTCAAGGCGCATTCATGTACTCGTAGACTTATTCAATCGCCCCTCAGCACGAGAGAGATTGCATCCAAGAAACACTATTACAATGCTATGGTCCCGGTACAAGGCCCACTTTCTGGTGACAAAGATCCGTCTGATGCAGCGCTCGACGGGTGCCGACGAACCATGGGGACAAGTCTCATCGCCTGCGGTCTCGCTGTGACGAACCTCTCCATCTGTCTTGATGAGGAACCC